TTTCTAAACAACCTATGAAGAATTTTTTGTCTTCTAAATCTTGCAAACTCTTAATAAAATATGCATTTCGATTCACCGTTTCCAAACGATCTGTAAAGATTTTCTTCTCTTCTGCTTAAAACAAAAATGCTGAAAGAACTAAAAAATCCCGATGAAAGTGGTAAAATGCAACTTCACTTCCGTAGTTCATTTCTTATTAAATTAAAAATACTTTCTCTTCACCTTCCTTTGTTTTTTCCTTTATTCCATTCATTCATTTCTGTTTTTAAAAAAAAATATATCTCAGAATAGTTCTAGGTTTTGTTTTGAGGGTTTAAATTAATCCAAAAACTTGTGTGGAGATCAAAAATCTAAAGATATAATAAAGGAAAAATAAAGAGTACAAAAATATCGTGTTAACTTCTTCGGTACCATTAAAACGTGTGACTGAATTGGTGACATAAAGAAAGATCTTCTGTCTTCATTTAGCTGGCAGTAACAATAAGTCTTAATTTTCTTCTCCAGCTGAAGGGTTATATCGCCAAGTAAAGAAAAGAAATAGTTCTAATAGGATAAAAAATGGATATTTCGGCTTACGTAACATTAACTTGAGTTACTTAAACCAAGAACTAAGAGCTTTCAAAAAGATCTTCCAACATTATCCTTCAAGAGTATGATATATAAAAATACATATTTTTTATTAAAAAATTGCACGAATCATTTATTTGCTTATAAATACTATTTTTTGACAGTCTCTGAAAAAAATATAGCTATAAAAATTTGAAAAATTTTAAAGATTACATGTCTATGGCTTTTGAAATAATAAATAATTCAACGTAATAAACAGTCATTTTGAATTGAAACTACAATTTTTGCTCACGCGTATTTGCTGTATAAAAAGTACGGAATATTTGCCAATTTTTACAATGTTATGACTTTTCTTCGTTTTCAAATTTATAATGATATTTGTTAGAAAATAATGCCTATGCAAGATTTGAATTGTTTTAATGGGCTTTTGTACATGCTCGGAGAATATCTATAATTTTATAGCAATATATATATATATATATATATACGTGTACATGAGGAATTGAATTGAATTGAATGTAGGGTTTACTGGCACAAGGTCCACAAAAGGAGATGCTGCGCCAAACATGCGATTTTAAAACGAACCAAAGGTAAACTCATCCTACTATTTTTCTTACTAGATTTTTACACAACATACCGAGAGTATTCGAAAGTGATAAAATCAGTTAAATATAAATACTATAAAACCAGATGAAACAGGATCAAAAGTGAATAAAATCAGATAAAAGTGTAAACAGGATAAAACAGTTATATACAGTATAAAATACCAATTGCGCGTAGAAACGCAAAAATGTTAGGGTGATGGGTGTCTCCTAACAAATCCTCCAGCGATAAAATAGAACTACCAAAAAAGGTAAGACGGTAAAAGTTAAAACATGAGCAAATAGTTAAAATATGATTAATAGAGAGTAAAACATTACAAGAGTCGCACTGGGGAGGCTGTTCTCCAAACAGTAAATGTAAATGTGTCAAACGAGTGTGGCCGATTCGGAGACGGGTTAGCTTAACATCTGCGTGACGAAGACGTAATACAGGTAAAGGGGTAATATCTGGTTTAACTGAGTGCAATTTGTTATGAATTTTAAGGTTCCACTGTTGTTGCCAGAGAGATGTGATACACTGCCGTATATGACGTTTTATGTCTGAGAAAGGTACGGATATGGTTAAAACAGTGGTGGCAGATCGTGCAGTCAAATCAGCCAAGTCATTTCCTGGGATACCGACGTGACTTGGCACCCAGCAGAATAAAATATCAAAACCGTTTTTGGGGAGAGTAATCAGTAAATGGTTAATAAAACACAAAATTGGATGACTATCACTGCGAAAATTTCCTATTTGGCGCAAGACACTCATACTGTCAGAGTATATGCAATACCTCCGCGTAGAGAGCGTGGAAATCTGCCGCAGTGCCAATAAAATGGCAACAGCTTCAGCAGTGAAGACAGAACAAATATCTGGGACTTTATAGCTATAAGTATCATCAGCGATGATGACACCACAGCCGACATATCCCGTAGATTTTGATCCGTCAGTAAAAACAGACAGATACTCCGAATATTGCTGACGATGAGAAGTGAAGATATGCTGATAAATGTTGGGTACAACATTAGACTTATTGTACATCATAAACGGTGAATGAAACTGATAGGGTGAGATGGTCCATGGAGGTATGAGAAAATGATTCACTGATTGCGAGGGTAATTCACAAATGTCTAAAGTTTGTATGAATGTACGAACACGAGCATGTAATGGTCGGACATGAGAAGGTCTAGCTACATACAGTCTCTCCAAGCTTGATGAAGAAACTTCACACCTTAAAGGATGTGATTTACTAGACATGACACGATAGTAATATGTCAGAGAGAGCTGCATGCGACGTAGATCCAAAGGTAATTGTTGGCAGATGACATTCACGCTTTCTACTGGACTGGTGCGAAACGCGCCGCTGCATATACGTAAGGCCGTATGGTGCACTGTGTCCAATCGTTTTAAGTGAGAAGATGCCGCAGTACCATAGACCATGCAAGCGTAGTCAATACGGGACAGTATTAATGCTTTGTATATTCGCAGTAAAGCGATACTGTCTGCTCCCCAAAACGTCTTTGATAGAACGCTCATCATATTCATTACATTCTCACAGCGTTTTCTCAGTTGTTTAATATGAGGGAGGAAAGTCAGTTTTTTATCAAAGACTACTCCCAAGAATTTCGTTCCCTCAACAATAGGTATTGCAGTGTTGTTAATGAGCATAACAGGATCGTTATGTAACCTGCGTAGCCGACAAAAATGTATACAAGAACTTTTGGTGGGTGAAAGTTTATGACCATTCTGATTACACCATTCTACAATTTTGTTTACTGTCAGTTGAAGTTGACGCTCAATTACTCGCATATCAGATCCTGCACAAGATATATTCAGATCGTCAACGTAAAACGTGCCAAAAACGGTGGGTGGAAGTATGCGCAAGATGAGAGATATGTGGACGATGAAAATAATGACGCTCAAAACGCTACCCTGTGGAACACCTTCAGATTGAACGTATAGGTCAGAAAGTTTATTGTCAATTTTAACTCGAAAATATCTTTGCCGCAAAAAGTTTTTGATAAAAATAGGTAGAAGACCACGGAGGCCCATGTCATACAAAGCCTTAAGAATACCGTATCGCCATGTCCGATCGTAAGCCTTCTCAATATCGAAAAAGATAGAGACAATATGGCTACGCCGGACAAAAGCATTACCAATACGAGATTCCAAGGAAACAATGTTGTCCATTGTCGATCTACCTTTACGAAATCCACTTTGAAAGGCCGGAATAAGGTGTTTCTTTTCCAGATAATAAATTAGTCGTGAATTAACCATACGTTCTAAAACCGTGCTGAAACAACTAGTCAGTGCTATGGGGCGATAGTTGATAGGTTCTGTTGGGTCTTTACCTGGCTTTAAAATCGGTATAACTATAGCTTCACGCCAACCAGTTGGATATGTCTGTTCTGTCCATATTCTGTTGAAGAGCAAGTGAATATTAAGAAGAGACGCAGGCTTTAAATGGCGTAGCATTCGATAGGATATCCCATCGAGGCCTGGGCTGGTGTTTGGAACTTTAGCCAGCGCTTGCTCTAGCTCTTGAGACGTGAAAACTCTATTATATTGAAACCTTCGGCGAGATTCAAAATTTATGGTACTGCGTTCAGTAATTTTCTTGTGAGTTTGGAAAGTTGGGCTATAGTTGTCGATGCTAGAGACGGCTGCAAAAGTTTCACCCAGGATGTTACTCACATCTACAGGGTCAGAGAACGTGGTTCCGTTTCTAGTAAATACCGGAAGATGAAATTCACGGTATGTACCATTCGCTCTCGTTACTCTCGACCAGACTTGTCTGGGAGATGCTCTAGATGTGATGGATGAAACATAACGTGACCAAGAGTCTTTCTGACTTTGGCGCCGAACCTTGCGAGCAAGGGCTCTAGCCCGTTTGAAAGCCACAAGGTTATCAGTTATTGGATAATGACGGAAATAGTTCCATTGTTTTTGCTGTTCTTTGTGAGCCTTAGAGCATTCTGTATTCCACCAAGGCTTCCGATGACATGGAATAGAATTGGATGTTTTTTGAATGCTAGCATCTGCTGCACTGATTATTATTCATGTTACTGTCTCAACAACGGTTTCAATATTATCATCTGACACCATGTCGTTCGTTATTTCAGCAAGTTGTGTGAAAAGGTTCCAATACGCTCGATGATATATGAAAACAGATGGTCTGGGAGTGATATTAAAAGTATAGAAGTAGGAAACAATGATAGGAAAATGATCACTAATATGAAGATCATCATCGACTGAAAATTGTGTGAAAGGCAAAAGTGAAGGTGAACATAAAGCCAAATCAATGCAGTGAAAAGTTTGAGTTGCAGCGTGAAAATAAGTGTCCTCTCCTTGGTTCAGTAGACAGAGATCATGATCCACGAGGAGTGTTTCGACTTGATGCCCTCGAGCATTTGTGTCTGGACTGCCCCACAGTACGTTATGACCATTGAAATCTTCAAGTAAAATGAAAGGCTTGGGTAACTGACTCATCAAAATGTTTAAATCATGTTGGGAAACTGGATCATTCGGCGGTAAATATACAGAGCATATTGCAATGGAGATATTAATATGAATTTGAACTGCTACGACCTGAAATGAAGTTGACAATGAAAGGCGAGTTAACGGGAAATATGTCGAAGTTAAAAGCGCAACGCCACCATTAACTCGATTACCATCAACGCAATCATTTCGATGGCAGACATAGTTACCCAAGTTGAAATTGTCAGATGGTTTTAAAAGTGTCTCTTGAAGAGCAAGACATGAAGGATGATATTCAAAAACAATATCTCTGATGTCAGAGATCTTATTACGGATACTACGACAATTCCAGGAAATAATTGGAATTGTCATTATCACTTTATTTTAGGTTTTGGTTTCAAAGAGACGTCCATCGATGAATCATCGAAAATGGATTCATCATCCGATGGATGTAAAGTTACAGAATCGTCCATCTTCTGTAAAGCATCAGAAGCGGACTGAAATGAGAATTTTGGGTCTTTTTTCTTTTTTGTTAAGCCAGGTTTCAGGCTAGGTGGAAGTTTTATGCTCGAACGCTGCTTAAGGGCAGGCCGAGACTTTTCTGGGGATAAGGTACGAGAGGTTTTGGGGGGAGGAGATTTTGATACAGGTCTGCGAGAAGTGGATGGTCCAGTGAAATTAAATTGCGACTTCTGTTTTGTTTGTTGTGAGGTAAATGATGTTGAGGTATCTGTTTGCGTACTAACTGTACAATAGGAAATCTTAGCTGCCATAGAATAGGACGTACCCGGACGGGGAGTACGGGCAGAAACTATCCGGTGAGCTTCCTGAAACGTCAGATTTTGTGAGACTTTAACAGATTGTATTTCTTTCTCCCGCGACCATCTTGGACAATTCCTGGAATAAGCCGCATGGTCACCCTTGCAGTTAATGCAATGGAGCGATAACTCGCAATAAGTATCCGAGTGGCCGGGAGAAGAGCAGCGAACACAAACAGATGTACCTCGACAGGATGCTTTTGAATGTCCAAACCTTTGGCACTGAAAGCACCTCAAGGGGTTTGGAACATAGGGTCGGACAGGACAGTTAAACCATGGGATTTTGACATCAGGTGGTAACGTTGGAGTGTCAAACGTGAGGATAAGATGTTTCGTGGGTATGAGTTTCTCATCCCTGCGAATCCTTATCCTGCGGACCTCTACAACATGCTGATCTTGCAGACTTTCTTTTATCATGTCCTCGGCATCATTCAGAAGTTCGAATTCTGATATAACACCCCAAGAAGTGTTAAGAGACTTGTGTGGCATAACGGTGACCTCAAAGGAGCAAATTTTTGTGCATTTTGACAATGTGGTAGCCTGAGTTTCAGAAGTGACCTGAATTAGCAAATCACCTGAACGCAGTTTCTTTATCATAGCTACTTCTCCCAAAACTGAAAGAAGCGCTTTGTGTATCAAAATTGGCGATATCTTACTAAAAGATGAATTTGGTACTGAAGGATTATTTAAAGTTATCATGAAAAAACGAGCATAGACATACGGTGTAGGGGCTGTTCCGCTGTTTTTGCTATGGTGTGCGGAACTGAACACCTTACTACTTTCAGCCAGAGAAAATTTCAACCATTTCAACAACCAACGGCACCACCCACCACGGAGTCCAACTAAGGGGATGCAAATAAAGAATTGGTTCTGTTACCAATCCGATACTTAAACACCGATGCTGACTGATAGTTATACGCCCGCGAGTCACTCCTGAAGCCGCCTCCACCCTTAACGAAGTGCCCAGTAAGTATCCGCAGGCTTGACCCTGACCAACAGATGACGTTCGTGGTTAGCCGGTTGATGCATACAGGCCAATATGCACCTCCCGTTTACCTGAAGCAGGGGCCAAAGCAGTGTATTGGGGTACCAGGATTCCCCTCAACTACCAGGATCCCCTTTTCCAGGGACACGGGTCTCCACGCACGGCAAATACGCGGGTGGTCTCTTCCCATCTATGTCCAACACAATAGAGTGGTAATCAAACACAGATGACAAGCCCTCACCAGTAAATTTGGCAACCACGACAAGGGGGAAGAGAAAGGGGAAAGTAGGAATAAAGGGAGAGGAAAACGAAGGGAGGACTAGGGTACCCCGGGGGGTGACTCCCTGTGTTTACCTAAAGAAGATAAACCCCCTCAGGGGCATGTACATGAGGCTAAAAGAGCGTAAATTCCTCAAAACTAACTGGTTAACACCCAGGGCCACCGCCGAAAGCTACTTTTACTGCGAAATATTTTATAGAGAGTTAGGCAATTAAAATCTATAGCTCTTAAAATATTTGATAATTTTATGAGCATTATCTTTCGCATCTATTCAATGCAAAGGTATGTGGAATTAATTCAAGTTAAATTTACAAACAAGCGAATCATACATTAAAACATAAACTTAGCTATCACGACAACAAAACAATATTGTTTCCCTTAATCAGTCTGTTTATGTTACATTATTGATGTGATGCACTTTTCCCGAAGTCTAAAATGATTATAAAACATTAAGAACTATTTATGCTGTACTATGCATATTGTAGTTTGATCTTTTAGAAAACTGTATGCCAGGAGAATAATTACACCCGTTTTTATAAAGACCAAGAGCAGGTAATATGTTAGAAATCGTCAATTGTCAAACTAATACATCATTAATTTCATCTAACCTCCCATTCTAACTGCACAGTATTTTGCGAATGCTCCATGTAAGTTATAATGTAAGTTGTGCAGAACATTTATGCTTAAAAGTAATATTGTTATGATGATTTTATTGCGAAATGGTTTAAGGAAGTTGTTGTTTGGCTCAAATATTCCTGGCTCTGATATTTTATTTTATTTTATTTATTTATTAGTTGTATATTTATTTTTTTATTCTTCGGCTTTGTGAAACGAATGTACTACACCAAGCGTAATGCAGATAACCTTAAAAAAAAGTACAATAAATGAAGTTTCGCGTAAAAAAATATTAAAAAACTGAAAATATCACAGGATTAAGATAGAAAGAAAAAAAGAAAGAAAAAATCTAATATTCTTAACAAAGAACTCCTGATAGCATAAATGAGAAAGATTCATACAACTTTTTCCCTGATTTAAATGTAAAAAGTGATGCTGTTTTAAATTATTTTGGCAAAACTTTAAATTTCAAGATAAGTTTGATAATATTTCAGAGCTTAAAATTTTTCATCCTGAAGCTTCTTTTATTTATATTGTCTCGAATACTCTTACATCGATATTTAATTTAAGCTTAATTAATAATAAAAAATATATCCGATGCTTGAAGATGATTTCTTAACAAAACAAAAAATCAGAAGATGATTAAGCAAATAATAAGATAAAAAAAATTATTTTGCTGACTTTCGACTATAACTATCATAATGATATTAATACTCAGTAAATTATTTTCACGCTCTAAGGAATCTAAGGAAAAAAGTAAGGATAAATGTTACAAGTTTTATGCGTATATTTGGTTCAAATAATGTATTGTAAACTAAAATTGTTTTCATGTATTTAACGTGAATATGCATACCTCTGCTAAAAACTTATGAAAGGACTAAATTTTTCTAAAGTTCTTTTTTCTAAGTTATATCCTTGCACAGTTTCAATAAAATTGTAAAAATAAAACGTTTCATATCGAATTAAGAAATCTTGCTGCTACCGAACCATGTTAATTGCATACTAAAGTTGAGGCAATTATAAATGTTGATGTGCCTCAAGAATTTCGAAGGTATTGAAGCAAAAAAAAGAAAAATGAAGTACATTATTTTAAGAAAATTAAGGAATTTAAGCATTACTTTTTAAATAACTTTGAACTGTGAAAACTTTCTTTTTAAAATATAGTTGATTTTTAAATAAAATAAATTTTTAAGAGAAAGTGAAAAAAAATCATCCCTTTAAACCTAATTCCTGGAACTAGCATTTGAGATATATATGAATCCTTCCTGAACTTAAATTATCCTGGAGCTCAAACTACTAGAGTTATAAACATAAATATTTATTCTTTTTTTTTACAATTTAAGATCTAAATTTATTCTTTATGAAGAAATATTAAAAATGGAAGTTAAATAAAACAATCCAAAAAAAGAGAATTTTTAAAACCACAGATCGTTTAAATATCTTTACAAAATTAAATTTCTTTAAAATTTATTAAAACAATGTGTGGAGAAACTGGAACTAGCAACGCCCCCTAGCGAGAAACTAGAAAAAACTCAGAGACAGTGAGAGAGTGTGAACGAACGGTAGAAAGCCTGCCATGCAGAGCTCCTTAATTTCTTCTTCTTCATATATGTTTTATATGTTATGTTTGTGAATGTGCTGAGTGCTAACCATAGTCATGTTGTTTACAATAAAATAAAAGTTAGCTAGCAGTTGTTTTTAATTCCCCCCTATGCACCACACATAACAAATGTTTAAGACCTGCGATTTTCAGTGCGTTTTCTAATTAATATAGAATTAAAATTTGAGACGTGCATAGAAAGTTTTTACTTCTTTTTAATGCGTAAAATATGTCAAAAATAATTTCATTTATTAAAATTTCGTAAGAAAGTAATCATAATTATGCATAACTTATTCCGTACAAATTTCTATTTACAATGTATTCGGGTATAGTTGAAGAATACTTTAATGCTTAGGGGCAATTTTGGAAAAAAAAAATCTATGGTATTTTGAATGCAATTAAGTAGCAAAAATAAAATATCAACCAAAGACGTATTTAATGTTTCGTCATTGGATAGACGACTGGAAAAGATTTGAAGAACCAGACCCACTCAGGGCTGTAGTGTCACAGAAGAAGAATGTTTTGTACTTAGATCAAAACTATTTAGACTTATCAGAAATTTATAATTTATGCTAATGCTTATTTATCATATATTTTAGTACATCCACAGAATTGTAAGTCTTCTTGCTTGCAGGTTATGATATGGGTTTAATTAAGTTTAACATGTATTTTTAAATTCAGCTGAACAACAAATACAGGTACAGAAAACATTATTTTTATTTACAAATCATGCAAGAAAGTTAATGAAAAAATCTATTGTACCGGAAAGTTCATAAGAGATACATATAAGACTATTAGACTAATCAGAATCTATTTAGACCTTTCAGAAGTTTGTAATTTAGGCTAATGCTTATTTATCATATATGTCAGTACATCCACAGAATTTAAAGTCTTCAAGTTTGATGGTTATAATAAGGATTTAATTAAGTTTATCATATTTCTTCAAATTCATCTGAAGAACAAATATTGGTACAGAAAAGAATATTTTTATTTACAAATCATGTAAGGAAAGTTAATGAAAAAATATTATACCAAAAAGTTCATAAAAAATACATTTACAATTATTTTAATGACAATAACTCTATCTCGTTTAATTGATATCATTTCGAAGTTCAGTTATTGAACTTTGTTAGCTAATGATTTCGGCAAAACATCAATTTAGTTTCTATACATACAGCAGTGTGATACATCATATTACTGCACGTTAAATATATAAATTGTGTTACTAATTTGAATTTAAAAAGCTAATACAACTCTTGGATCTCAGAAAAATAATGTAAATTATATGAATAATCTGACGAAAAATGTAAGAATCACTAGATTGAAATATTCATTATTTTTCGTTTTTTTATAATTTCAAAAAATTTTTCAAAGTGATAAATTTAAAAAAGAAAAATAACGTTTTTCTAAGCTACACTATAAAAAAAATTTATCCAAAATATCGGACAAAGACCGACATCAGAGGTTCCAGTCAAAGTCAGTAAAATAATATTCAGACTTTTAAGTAAGAATCACATGTAATTTTAATTTTTAACAAATATAAGTTCATCCTGTAAAAAAAGAAGCATTGTTCATAAAATAACAATTGATGCGAAATTATCCCCGATGTACAAGAATGAATATTGTCTAAAAGGTAATACAATAAGTATATAAATACCCCTCTCAAAAGAACGATCAGTGTCCATAAAATTAGAAAAGAATCACTTTATTAAGGAAATTCGAGGACATAAATTTTCCACACTTTTGAGACAAACGATATGATTGTGGTAATGCGGTCAGGACTACGTGCGGATTATTTTTATTTCTGCAAAGGCTGATAGATTTGGTGATGGGTGGCTTTTCAGTTACAGCTCTGTGGGTTTAACCACTGAGCAATCACGGACATTCAATTTAAATTAAGAAGAATTAATAAAATTTTTCGTAATTTTTAAAAAAAAAATATAAAAAATTTTCTAAATGTAAAGAATTAACAAAAATTTGCAAAGAAAGAATTAGTAAATAAATTTTGATGTTTACTGATATGCGATATTTACTTTTTCAAATAACTAGCATAAACATTATGATTAAGTAGTAAAATATACGAGAAAAAAATTAAATATGTCGTTTATGGGCTGCAA